GAGTGATCAAGCCCCGTTTTGTCGCTTGACTGATGTCAAGTTCCAGTCCGGGAGTGGTCGTTGCAGGATGCCGTGCCAGCCATGCTGACCGCCCCGCTTTTCGCCTCCATGAGCACTTCCTCTGCTTCGACCTTTCCAGCTGCACGCAAAGTTACCGTCAGGGACCTGATCAATCTGCCCGCGCAGAGACTCCGGACAAGCATTCAATGCAACATGCTTTTGCAGTGCACAAGGTGCGTTTCGTGCAGAGTGTACGGCTGGCTCCTGGCATGGAGCGTCTATTCCAGGACTTGCTTGGGTTGGAGTGTTGCATGTGTAGGTCATTGGAAGGCGCAGGCTAGGCCCGCAAAAGACATGAGCAGTTGCTTGCTTTGTTCGGCTGGTCATAATGTTATGGAGCGCCCGAGTCTTGTTCGGTCTCTTCGTGGACATGCTGGTGCTTGGACCTGCCAGGATCCGGAGCTGTCCTTGCTGCAATTCCCGGGCTCTGCAGAGAAGAAAAAGCCGTCATTGAGTTGTGGTTCATCCGAGCAGAGGGGAGGTGCACAAGTACCTCCCCTAATGATTGACTCTAATGGCGAATAACATGGACCAATGGAAAACCATCCGAGGCGCAAGTGGAGATGTCGTCAAGAATTGCCATGTTCACCTTCCGTTCTATCATCTACTTCCTAGGCGCGCTGCTTCTGTCTGTGCAAGTCCGTTGTTTCAGCACGGAAAGCAGGGGGGACCTGCTGAGTTGATGAGCCCTACACAACTGAGACATGACCGTCCTTGCTGGAGGCATGACGCAGCTAATCTACGGCCGTGTCCGCCACATATGCAGAGCTATCAAGGATGGGGACTTGGCATCTCGCCATAGTTTCCGTCATATTATCTTGTTGGGAAGTTAGGCCTTGCAGAAGTGTTGCTCACGAAGCCTCGCTCGCATCCTGAGCTGCAAACGTAGACAAAATAAGGTTACCATTGCAAACATGCCCATTCCCAAACGAATGGTTGACAACTGGCGGGAGCCAGTTTCTTGCTTACTGGCTTCTGCCAGGGACTTACTTCTGTTCCATGCACAAGAACAGTGACATTGTACATCGCACTGCCCTACAGTTAGGGCCATGGGTCGGAAATATTACAGACAGACTCACAGGCTTTGATCATCATGTTCTTCATCGAGCCCGTGCTGCCTCTCGGCCGTTTGATTACTGCCTTATGAGTTGCAGTTGCTCGAGCGCTGATGGCTGTAGTGTGGGCCGATGTAGGATGCAGCTTACATGACTCAGGTACTGCTTGCAGCACTACGACGGTGATTTTGAGGGTTCAGGCTGTTTCTTTCGCATCGCTCGGTAGGGGATAGATGCAGTGCACTGCAGTGACTGCAGTGCTGCTGCGGCTGCTGCAGGTCTCTTTACCGATCTCTGTCCGGAGGCCAAGGCGGGCCCTTGGCTCTGAGAGGCTCTGTCCGCCGTATGAGACGTTGACAGTCTTCCTGCTTCCTGCTTTTGTCGGAAGGGCGTCCGGGAGGTGCACCTTGGCAAGCCTCTCCAAGGCTACAAGGATGGAATGCCCTGTTCGCCGCCTCTTGTTCCCAAGCTTTTTCCGTCTACTCCCATTGCGCTCTCAGGTATTCCATTCTCTCTTTATTCATTGTCGCTTTGTATATGGCCTTGCTTCTGGACCTTGCAGCCCTGTCGATCAAGTTGAACGTTGCTTGCCTGCGAGTTTATGTCTCACACATACTCTGGGAACAGTGCCACTGAACGTCTTAAGCCGTGACATGTACCTCGGTGTGTAAAAGCTTGGCCCCCGCTTACACTGTCAGCGAAGATATGGCTTTGTTCAAGACACGCCGCAATTCCGAGGCATATGTCCTGGTGGCAATCAATGTCTTACCGGAGCTTTTCCTTATGATTACTGCGGTAACCTTCCTTGCGATCATGTTTGCCACCTGTGTGGCAGTCAGCCACACTTCAGGCCGTGTGTCCCCACTGGAGCAAAGACTGTCACCTTGCATGCTGCATGTTTTCGTTTTGCCCAGCGCTTTCCCTGAGTTGATGCCTTCAAAGACATGCCGACTGCTGGCATGCGCTTCTTTCAGATTGCGGCGAAGATGCAAGACAACCGAGGCTCTGCTAGACATGCTGAGCACACAACATATTGTGGTGCCTCCGACGGAGTGATAGGATCTACAGCTACGTGTGACCAAGTCTAGTACGTCTAGTGCACCATGGTTTTTCCCTTGGCGTCTTGGCACCGTGTCAACCAAAAGTACAAGGCTAAAGCTCAGAACGGCAGCGCCACTTGTCAGGGATGCCGGAGATCTCCACAGTTCCGCTTCTCATGGTTGCGATCGGCTTGTTCGTGGTTGCAGCACCTTAGCTTGCAGAAGAAGCTGACGGCGTCAACTATCGCAATATGTAGTTGCATTTTTAGGTGGTGTTCGGCGCCTTCAACATCTTCGTCGCGCAGCTGACGTGTGCACACCAGGAGATCTACGACAGCATGGTGGGCTATTCAATTCTGAGGCAACCTTGCCGAATCCATCATTGCAAACAAGCACTTTCACCCCTTGAGCCCGCCGTATTTTAGGCGAATGCAGATCTCCATTGACACGATGCAGACGCTTCGTCGGCCGTCTAGCTGCATCACAAAGCCCACTCACCACAAGACGGTGCGGCACAGAAGTTGGTTAATAGCATCATCTTGAAGCTTGTCAGAGCAAGCAGAACGAGTGCATAAAGCCCTGCCAGCGCTGACATGTAAGATTGCCGAGGCGCACGTTCAAGCAGTTTGTGGATAGCCTCGTCATGGACGAGCCGCTGGAGCTCCTCAGAAACGAAATTATTGGCTTGCCGATTGCTTCATGATGGAGTTTGTGCCAGCAGGTTCGGTGAAGGTGATATTGGTCTTCCGGGTGGCGTGCAGATCATGGAGTGCGCGTCCCTCCACCCTCAGAACAAAGAGAGCATTATCAGGTGCGACAAGTGCATTCGGCAATTTCTTTTGTATGGCTTCTCTCTCAAAGTAGTGCTGAGCCTTGATGCAGATGATTCCTTTGTGGTTGTCCGGTTTGTGAAGACTGGCTGACTCATTTGCTGACCCGATTTGTTCATGAGATAGGATGTTGGAAGCATGGCCTCTCCTGGCAACTCCAGAGTCTGTGCAGGTTCGGCGGTTCCACGGAGACATCCATGCAGTGGCCCAAGGAAGAAGCCTTGGAGATTGCTTCTGAGGATGCAAGGCCGACAGTGGCTGAAGATCTTGTTTGGGCATGTCTGCTCAGTGAAGAGAAGAGGCATGTCAGAATGCATGGCGGAGATGTGCAACACATGACCTCGAGCGCAGGCTGGATCGCTTGGTCAAGAAGTTTGACAAGTCGTTGTTGCATCTAAGAAGCACTAGACCAAACGGGAGGATCACTTGGCAGTTTTGTTCGCACTGCTAGCTCAAAGGATTTTGCTCGATTTGCTCAGGCATGAGCCCATGCTGTTGAAAAGGGTCGTTGTGTGGTTTCCTGTTGACAGCAAGACAACGTTCCTATCACTGTGGAGGAAGCACGATCATTTTCGGTATTGACGAGCAGCATGGGTGGGCAAGGGGTTTGTGATGGTTCGCGGGACCAGCCGACCACACCACACTCTAACGGGCATGCGAGAATTAATTTCAATTCTTCAGTCGGAGAAAGAACAGGTAGATTGGTTACCCAGTGAGCCTGCTGATGATGAAACTATCTTTGGGCCTAGGAAGCCTGCAGCTTTTGCGACCTATGCAGCAGACTATTGTGCACCTGCAGCTGAGGAGGATATCCAAGATGATGAAAAAGCGGGGCTTCTCAAGCTACACCTCTGCAGTCACTTCTCGAGTGGGGACTTCGGCCATGAAAAGCTCGGCGAAGCCGAGCTCGACGCCGGATAGCGAACCTACGAGCGGCGCGAGTGGTGCAGCAAGTGCCGGTGAGGAGCCCAACTCAAACAGCGAGTGCTGCCCGCCTGATCTAGCTCAGACTAGGAGGGCAGACGCTTCTGCGAGACAGTGCGCGCCTCAAGCCCACCCTGCTGAGGTGAAATACCCGGTCAGTCTCTGTGACGGCGAGCCGGGATCTCGATGTAGTCGTGTAGCGTGGCGCACCAAGTCGCTTCTGCTGCGAAGAATGAATTTTGAAGACTTTACCTGGCGCTTCAGCCACGAAGCGCCAAGATCTCGGATTTTTGGCCAAATTTCGCTGCTCCCTGGGGAGCGCCGTCTGCACGCACCTGCAAGGATTATCGGGTTGCTGTAGATGCACACTTGTCTGCTTGGTTCCCCAGGGAGGTGCTAAGGGCTGAGTTTCATAAGTCGAACCAAAGGCTGAAAACTCTCCAAGTGTGATCATACCTGCTGACAGCCAGTTCGTGTAAGCAGATCAGTCTCCAATGCAGCGGAGCCCCGAATTGCGTCATTCCGTCAGTGGCCTTTGCTTCGGGGCTTGGAACTCGTTTGAATGGCTGCCTGGCCCATGCCTGGGCATGCCGAGCATGTTTCGTTTCAAGGGTAGGGCTTGGAATCAGCAGGTCTGAGCGCTTTTGTTTGGCGTGAGCCTAGCTTTGATGTCTCTGTTCTTTCCTTTTCCTACATCGCCTCCCCTCCTTCCCTCTCTCCCTCCCTCCCGTCAAAAGCTGCTGACCAAGGAAGGTGAGTCTTTGCAACGCTGTGAAGTGAAGGCAGCATGATCGCTGCATTTCATGTTTCTTGTTCCTCGATTTTAAAAGCTCTTCAAGGGAGATGTGCTTTCAAACGATGTGAAGTTTAATCTGGCTTCGCCGCATCCGGTCGAGCGAACATGCTGTTGGCCACTTGCGAAGCAAGGGGCTCTGCCAGCACTGCAAACGGCAGGACAACCTGCCCATGTGAAGTGCTTCAGCAAAGGAAACTCGCACTATCTCGAAGCAGACCTCAATTGTTGTTTTTGCCATGTGTTCCGAGCAGACATGGAGCAGAATCAAGCTTATGGCTATATAGCTTGCCAGCAGGCCTTCGGCCATTTTCTCCGTGCTCATCAGATCAAAGCAGAGGTTCTTGCTTTGGCGCCCACCTGGTCAGACAGGAGCCACAGTGATTCGTCCCAAAGTAACCGACGGTTCCCAAGAGAGATGTGTGGTGCACAAACACCGCACCAGCCGATTCAACCTGTAAAGTCTTGTCGTCAAGCTGTGTAGACAGTGTAGACCGTGAGCCACCGCAGGAAGGACTTATTCGCTGGCCACTGCCCGAGAAACTGAGTATACTAATCGTGTGTGAAGTTACGATGCCTTTGCTTCCAGGTCGTATCGCTGTGGATTTTAGCTTTGCTGTTGCTGCATAACGACCTGAAAGCTATACAGTAGTGAAAAACACGAACCGAGAGACATTGTTTGGCTGTGTGAGACCTGCGATAGGGTAGTCATGTGTCGCATCATGTATCACCAAGCTACTTCCCGATATCCTGTGATGATCACGGCTCCCCGTGTCTCCTGCCATCTGCGTTGCTTCTTGCACAGCTCCAACGAACAAATCCCAGACTTCAGATGTCGACTACCTAGGATCAGTGGTCTCTGAGTTGGAGAACGTCTTCGGGCTTATGCTGCGAGCCTTGGACTGTTTGTAGACGGGCTGCTGAAAAACATTTGCGGAAATACGTCTTGACTCATGGCTCACTAGGGTTGTGGTGACATGCCTTGGAACTTCAGGATCAGCACTTCTTCGATTTGCAACGCAAACACCGCTGATCCAGTCACATTGCGCACCGAAGCCCAGATGTCAGTTTGTTTTTTACCCGGTGTGACAGCTCTTGATATGGACTCCGAGGCCTGCCGGGACACCCCGGAAACAAATTCTTTGCTCTTTGATGCTTTCGACGAGATCCGCACTGGCCGTCAGACCCTCGACCACTGCATCTGTGCTGGCCATCCCATCTAATATGGGGTTTTGTTAAGGGCTCTGAACCTCTCACAGACCCCAAGACCTGAGACGACACGTGCAATGCGAGAGAGCATCACTTAGCTCATCTCAAGGGCCGGCTGTTTTCTGACCCAAAGGCCGCACGAGCTTCGGCATCTTCCAATGTGGCACGCTCATCTACGAGCCGGGTGCCTGAAGTTATGTCAATGCGGACTTTGGTTACGGCTCTGCGTGGCATGCCCTGGTGCCAGCATGCGATTTTCTACTCCAGGCCCGACTATTCCAATGTCGCACACCTGCTGGAGCAGTTGTGTCTTTGAGTTGCGCTTGTCATAACGACAGTCTGCTGGGATGGAAGTTTGTTGATGTGCGCTAGCTGGACCGAGACTTGCACAGGACCTGGTAACACATACCTCGCCACAGCGCTGCATACCGCGATCGACTTACGCAAAATGAGTTGCAGAATGTCGTGGCGTGGTAGAGCCCACAGCGGCCCGCAGCCTTTGCAGCTTTGACGGTAAGGTGCATCTGTAGTACGTGGTGGGACGTATACACTGGTCTCGCGGGAACAGCGGCTTGACCACACCCCTGACCCTGATTAACTAATTGCAAAGTTAGCTGTATAAATGCCAGTCCATACAAGTTTTTCAGCTTTTGCTGACATAGGGTGCAATGGCCATGGACTGCGACGAAGACGACAAGCTGTGTCGGGCTTTGAACGTGGTTGCCTTAGGAGTAGCTGCTGTTGCAGGACGTGAGTGCCGAAGTATACCGACTCTGGTGCTGCTGCGCCTTCATTTGTTCTTCATGTAATGGATGCAAGGACTTGGTAAGATCAGCGATTCGAGGCGCAGACCACAAAGAGGGCCCTGCGAAATTGGCAGTGCCGAAGCTGTTCATCTTACTGCTTCCCCAGCCATATACTACTCGACCTTAAGCGAGTGGGAGCGTCGAAACCCCAAGGCGCCTAAGCCCGGGTCCGAGTGTGGGAGCATTCCCTCGGCTTCTGAGGACTGGGGCCTTTATATAGGCGGCATTCGAGAGGCGGAGGATCTTGAGTCTCTGCGCAATCACGGAATTAGTGCCGTGGTGAATGCGGCACCAGACGTCGTTCATGCAGCTTGCCTGTGAGAAGAGCCTCATGTTTCGGTTGTATTTTGTAGTAGTTACCCTCGCAGCTCATGCGCGGGTGGAGACGAACGATAGAAGAAGCCATTGGCATGACACTTCGGTTAATGCTGTGTGCAGACGCAACTTTCCCGGCTGGACGGAATATCGATATGATATGCCGTGAGGTCACCTATCCCGAGGGCTGGGTAACTTTGACTGTGGACGCAGAGGATGATCCCGCTTATCCCTTGTGCCTGACTGAGCTCAAGACAGCAAGAAATGGTGCAGACGACGCAGTTGGTTGCATACTGATGTTCCAACATACCGCAGCTTGCATGAGAAGGAGAAAGCTTGTCATAGTGAGGTTGGAAACACACTTGGAGCCAGTTTCGGAGCTCCCTGGCCGAAAATGCGTTTTTGAAGCCAAGGGGGTTTGCCTTTGAGGCCACAGCCCCGCAAAGAAGCAATGAGGCCTTTATGGCAGGGGTTCCGGACAGTTCCCACGTGAAGATGTGCAGCGTAATTAGTCAAGGGTTGTGGTTGATTGTTTCGGCCACGGCAGAGCCTGTGAGACCCAAGCATGAGCTTGATCGAATTGCAGGAATTGGCTGACGCTTTTCCAGTGATGTGCAAGCCGCTGCCATCCTGACTCCTCAGGTTCCTGAACGAGCAGCGGGCCCAAAGATGCTTGGCTGGGCCGCAGCTTTCGCCGTGCAATGTGTCTATCATGCTTCTATTTGCCCCGGCTGTGAGTTTAGCCGCCAAGGAAGGCCTGTGCTTTTGCATTGCTTTGCTGGGATGAACCGCAGTGCAGCTCTTTGTGCTGCCTATCTCTTAGCCCGAGAGCCTCAGACTGAATGGGTCACGACGCAGCATGTAAGGAATGGTATCATGTTCGGCTGCACGCTCCTGTTGAGCTCTGTTTGTGCAAGCTGCTCAGCCGTGACTCCGTGACCTCGCATCAACCGCTGGCTGTTTTCAAGTCAAGGCTTAACTCGTGCCGAGTCCCGGCCGCTGAAACTTGCGGGCGGGCCAGGTTGCACGACATGGCGGTCGCGTCGTCCGCCTCCAGAGGAGGCCTGCCGAAGCAGACTAGTGGTTCGGCCGTCTCCAAAAGCAAGGTGTCCACCTCGACAAAGATTGAAGCCACTGCATCCAGAAATAGGAATACAAGTGGCGGCGATAGCGGTGTAACAGGAGGAGGCCGCATGCTGATTTACTGTGATGGGAAGAACGTCACACCCAAGAGCTTGGTGCCGTCGCACTACCAAAAGCTTGCTGGGGGTGATCAGACAAACCTTGACTCCATCGGAATCTTGGGAACTTCCCCCTCAGCTTTGCCCACTCATGAAGAGGAGAAGGTGGTCCCTGAAAAGCCTCCACCAACGGCGGCAGAGATAAAGGCAAAAGCGCCAAAGCAAGCCACGCTCTCCAAGGACGAGCTCGAGCGTCCGATAGACATCGTGCTCAGCGAGACACAGACTGAGACGCTTTTGACCTTTCCATCTCTTTGCGTATCTCTCGACAATCCTCAGTCTGGATCGGTCTCTTCTCGCAACAAAGCCTACGAGGAGCTCTGTGCTTCAAAGGCAGACAGTGATCAGTACAAGGAGCAGCATTGTCAGACCATGAACCAGCCTCACAAGAGCAAGGAGGTCTTTGCAGCCGCTCCGAACACTGAGCATGCCGAAGTAAATGTGACTGGCTGGGATATCTACGATGCTTTCGCTACTGCTCCGGTGCCCAAGCACGAGCAAATTCAGCAGGCATGTGAGAAGGAGTCGCAAGCTGCAGTTAGTGTGGCAGTGAAGAAGCCAGGCTGTTTGTTCACAATGCAAGAGCCCTACCCAGTCTCCGAGCTGCCAAAGGAGGTGAAGCAGAAAACCGGAGGAGACGGAGGCAGGCGTGGTGTGCGCGGCAATGCAGCCGGTGCTTCGGGGACTCTTCGTGCCGGAATTTCGGCTGGCCCGTCAGCTCTTGCTGGCGGAGCTACCGCCGAGACGAGTGGCTACCCGGCAGCGCAGACTGAGGCCATCCCGGTCGACACCCTGCTGCCTGGACAGGATGAGGATGCTGTCCTGAAGGAGGAACCCAAGGCAAGCGACAAAATCCCATGGCAGGTTGGCGCAGAGAATCCTATCCCAGACGAGATGGCGAAATCATTGCGTGTGATGGAGCGCATTGTTTCACAAAATGTGTTCCACCGGCAGCACATGATCTACAGGAACTACCCCACTCTGGACGAGCTTGCCAGGCTCGACGAAATCCGAATGGAAGAGGCAATGGGTACGGCAGGAACGTCCGGATTCGGAGATGTTTCAGTAGCAGAAGATGCGCCAGTGGCTGCTGAACCTGCCCCTGTTGGGGCCGGCCTCGAAGAGCCAGAGGGTGGTGAGGAAGCAGGAGATGAGATTGCGGAGGATGCGCTGCCGGAGGAAAAGGATGCTGACAAGCCAGCTTTGCAAGATTTGTTCTGCTTCGATGCACCGCAGCTGACCCAGGGTATGACAGTGACTTGTGCAGAGTGGAACAGCAACAACAAAGACTTGCTGGCCGTCTCCTACGGTGACACAGCTCCAGTTCCTATCAATCCTGGTGGCTTGGTGCTCTTTTGGTCTTTGAAGAATCCAACCTACCCCGAGCGAGTGATCCGGACTCGGCATGGGGTGACAGCCCTGCATTTCTCGTCCATTCATCCGAACATGGTCGCGGCTGGCACCCACGATGGCTCCGTCATGATTTGGGACTTGCGGAGACCATCGGATACCCCTGTGCTTCGAAGCGGGTCTTCCGTGTCGTCCCACAATGACCAGAAGCACACAGACATTGTTTGGGAGACTCGGTGGGTGGACCAAGGTCCAGACAAGCAGCCTCCTGAGTTGTTGGTGTCTGTCAGCAGCGATGGAAATGTTCTCCAGTGGTCTTTGAAGAAGGGCCTTGAGCAGATGTTGCTCATGCCGCTGAAGCGCATTGCCAACCCATACCTGGGTGCAAACTGCGTGTACAAGCACAAGGAGGGCATTGTCTTTAGGAAGAGCAGCGGCTTCTGCATAGATTTCCCTCGGCATGATCCCTCGACGTATCTTGTTGGCACGGAGGATGGCCTGGTTCACCGCTGCTCAACCTCCTACAATGAGCAGTACTTGGATACGTACTACGGCCACTCCGGCCCTGTGTACAGAGTGAGGTGCAACCCCTTCATGTCTCATGCGTTCCTGACATGCTCAGCGGATTGGACCATGAAACTTTGGACAACGAAGCCCCCTCCGGGACATCCCCCAGAGACGCCGCTGTTGACTTTCCAGTCCACAGATCTCTATGCCTCTGTGAACGATGTGATATGGGCCCCACAGAACTCCACATCTTTCGCAGCGGCCATGGACGATGGACGGATTGAGCTTTGGGATTTGGCCGAAAAACCGCTGGATCCCATTGTTGTCCATTATCCTCAGGAGGACAAGCCCCAAAGGCGGCGAACATGCGTTCGCTTTTCCCCGAACTCACCTGTGCTTGTGGCTGGCGATGACCAAGGCAGTGTGGATGTAATGCGCATGTACAACACCAACCAGGCTTATTATTCAGACCAGGAGCAGCAGGATCGCTTGAGTGCGGTGATGGTAAAGAAGCGGTAGGTCTGTAGCTGCTGCACACTTTGGGAGTCCGCTACATTTGGTTATGACATCGTTTCGAGCATACCGAACGCAGCAGAGACTCAGCAAAAGACGTGCGGATTCCCGCAGGTGACCTTACGTTTCACCCGTACTGAATCAATGGCATGTGGTTGAAAGTGCAAAAGGCATTATTGTGCAGGGATTCTTCGTGCCAAGCCCTGTGACTTTTTATTTTGTATGTTAGGGGGACCAGCGTAGAAAGAGGAAGTCTCCGCTCTGCCACTCAGGATCGAATGGACTTGTTCACAGTCGTTAGACTGATAAGTGAGCGCCGTGGATGGATCCTCAGCAACGACGGCTTTGTGCGACAGTTGGTGCCCCTTGCCTTACTTTCGACATTCGGCGCGTCCACTTCTAAATCCGACGGGAAGCCGCTGGGTAAGTTGGTATACGTGATGCACATCCAAGGCACCTTGCAAAGGCTGAGGAGCTATTGAAGCCCGCTGAGCGCTTGCAGTTGGATGTGGTGCACGAAGACTCCGATTTGAAGGCATTGAAATCGAGCTCCAGCTGTGCCTGGGTTGCAGTTAACTAGACTAGCGTCGCAGTCAGCATGCTGCAGTATGCAATTTTCGCCGTGAGAGAATCATGCGAGTTGCCGAGGGCCTAGGGGCCGGGAGTGGGCAGGAGCATTCGTGCACGAGCACGAACGGACACTACATGACAACATTGGAGGGGGTCGCCTGGCTGTTTACATATGATATACGTAGGTATCATATGTGCTTCCATGCAGTGTTCCGCTTTGAGACTCCACGCACGTAAGCATCTACAAAGTCTTACTCGGTAATGTGCCGATCTGCTTTCTGTAAATTGCCAGCCGTCGCGCTACCCGATCAAAGAGCAGTGCGGATGCAGAAGTGGGAGGAAGGGGGGCAAGGGGGAAGGCAGGAAAAGGGGCGGGGGGGGAGAGGGGGCGGGAGGTGGAGGGCAAAACAAGCAGGTAAAATGAAGTGGGGTCGGGCAGGGTGGGGGGGTGGGGGTGGGAAACGAACTCAAAAAACGGGTGCGTCTGAGCTTACTCCCAATATGCCGGGGCCTGTGGCCTCGGCGGATTCTGCTAAGCGCAGTGATACACACAAGTGATACAAGACATGACACACCACTACAGTGTAACACGTGGTATCAAATTGCATCAGTTTACCTCACTAGCAGGTGACATTGACGTATTCTGTGCTCACGTTTTCTTGCTCGTTTGCACGCCTGCATGGCTTCTCTATCTGCGCAGGTGCGAACAGGAGGGCCGCATCCGAGCACTGTCATGCAGCTTGGCTGTGGAGTTGGGCAACGGTTGAAGGCATTGCTATAGTTGCTTGCATGTCGCAAGGTCTGACATGTTGGAGTCTTAAGTGTTAAGGTTGCAAGCAGTATAAGTTGTGCCGTCAAGTTCAATGTCAGCTGAAGTCATGATGCGTTGTGGCGCTGAACCTGACACCGCCTGCATGGGCATGCAGTAGTGCTGGCTTCCACTCCTGAAGGCTTCGAAACTGGGTCGCTCTTTGTCAAGGTTGTCATCATTCTCATCAGGCCAGGTTGTAACCAGCTGCAGAATGGCAACAACATGCCTGCAGTGCATTGGGTGGCAGATGCAGCGGGAGACGCCCCGACATCTTTGGAGCGGACAACGGCGCATGTGGGGCACTTGGACAGGGTGGTTCTGGCTCGCTAAAACCCCTGTGCCGGTCTGTATGTTCTCCTGCTGCATCGGCCCCAGGACGGTCGGCTAGTACGCAAGCTGTCCAAATCCTCCAGCGCTCTTTCAGGTCGGGCATGAGCAAGCTTTAAGGGCTAAAGCGGCTAAAGCAGACAGGGAACGAAGGCCCCCACACTTCCGACTTGCCTTCTTTGGTGCATCCCCATGCAGAGATTCGGGAAGGACGAGTGTTGCGAGACAAGAACAAGTATGTGCCTGATACCTCTAAGACCCTAATCCTAATACCCCAGAAGGCTCCCACACTTCCGACTTGCTCAATTCTTCAGCCAGTCTCTGCCAGACATCTCTACAGATGGCACGGGCGTGAAGGTTGCCCGAACTTCATCTCACCAGCCGCTTCAAGCCCGCACAGTCTCAGACACTTGGCCTTAAGATAGATGTCTCGCGGAATGCCGAAGCAATGTGCATCACTGTGAATAAATGTGGAGCGGCAGTGTCGTCCAGAAAGTCGTTCGGCCTCAAATGGTTTGCTGAGGACAGAGAGGTGGGGTATGCATCCAGGCTGCCGCGGCAAGATTCGGTTGACCCAGTCTTTCGGCGACAAGTACTTACTTTTGATTTGTAGTCAAGCTGAACCGCGCACGTCCTATGGGGAGTAGGCCAAACGCGCACGTGTCTCTTGCAGGAGGTGAAAAAGATCCGTCCTATGCAAGACATGCGGGAGGGACGAGCAGGATTGCGAGATGGCACATATCTTTATGTGGTTATGCTCGGTGACGAGGATAACATCCGCTTGAAGCTCGCCACGCCAGTCTTGTTTCAATCACAGTCGAGAGCATCGTTTCCGAGGCTTTGTGTGTGTGTGTGTGAGTCGTGTCGTCAGCCTGAACAATTCGGATGCAAAGCTCAACGAACTTGTGAATTCGTCGGATTGTCCGACTCAGCAGTCTGATCACTTGCAATATCTGCAGATTAGGATACACGAAGATCACTTGGTTCACGAGGGCGTCCTGGCTGGTCATACGTCGCTGGTGCAAAGAGCCCTGGTGCAAGATGAGGCAATTTCTTGCCGAAGCTCGTGAATTTAGCTACAACGGATGCGAGATGATGCGTAGAACGCCAAAAGCTTGCTCTAGTCTAGAGCTGTGGGGACGAGACATCCAAGAAGTATATGACAGGCCACATAGCCCTCTCATGTTTTTGATGCCTCAGGAAATGAATTCACCCGTGGATGGGCCAAACAATGGGACACCAACGACCCACAGTTCCGCCACACTGTTTTGTATGCCGGTGAACTGGAGTACGAGGAGGGAGATCCTGAGTGGCGAACGAGCTGTTGCTTGCGAGCTATTCCGGGTGTAGATGCGGACAGCTGCACGAAGATATGTCACGTCACTCGATGCCTTCTCAGGAAGGGGTCGTGATGTGGAATAACCACTCTGGCCACTATACCCCATCGGCGGCAGACCATGTACGTGTGCACCTTGATCCGGCCACTTTCGTGGCTGCTGGGATTTACATATTAGCATATTCGTTAGGTTGAACGCGGCTGCGAAAGGGCCTCGGATGATCTCGGATGTATCAACCGAGGCATTCGATGATTAGTGGCCAGTTCGCCACGGATCTCGCCTGTGCGGCGAAAATGTCCTGCGTGGCACCACATGCTTATGCTTGCGATTTCGGATGTTCTCAGACCGGAACTGGAGCAAGTCCACTCTGCAAACGGAGGTTGGATGTCATGGTTCGTGCAGCTTGCGCATGCCGAGCCGCCGCGAATCAGGAGGTCGGCGTGCTTGATGATAATCTCCGGATCAACGTTCGGTCTGGTTCTGGGGAGAGGATATTCCGACACGAAGCACGAAGGCCTGATTTTCAAAGGTCTCCAACATGTGAAAAAACGCATGTGGGTCCCAAACGTATGAGTTGTTTCCTGGACTGTAGTTGGATTTCAGTTGGCCCGACTTGTGATCTCGGCCCTAAGCCGTGTATGGATATAGGAGAAATGACGAGAAGTTTCACGACGCAGCGTGGTTTTTGAGCAGCCTTCTGGATAATTGCTTTGTGCTGAAACTCTTGATAGTGTTTGTTGGGCTTCAGACAATTTCAGTTTCAAACCTTCGAAAAATGCGGCAGAGTAGATTTTCCCGAAAGAATGCACAAAGGACCAAATCTGGAATGGGCTTCTCGGACTTTGACGCTTCAGTGTACAAGACGACAAGTTCACACAGTACGACCGCTTTTGTCTCTGGTCTAGAGAGTCTACAAGGAAGCCTTTCCTTCACGATGGCAGTTTCCACAGCATTCCACCAGCAGTTCGAGAATACAGCGATGCTATGCCAACGAGAACTCACATGTCATAACATAGGCTGAACGAATTAAAAAGATCCCAACTTGTTCATTCACACTTTCGCAAACTCAGCACCTCACCGCATGAGACGCTGGATTTGCGAAAGTTGGAATACGAGCAAGGTGCTGCTCCGGCGTGGTGTGATACAAGTTGTTGAAACTCACTGAATTTACGTGCGGAGCAAGAGGTGAACGGGAATAGCACGCTTTTGGATCGTCTCGCGCTCTGTAATAATTTGTTCAGCCATTGGACCTTACCGTATGTCTCTGATGTATGAACCCAGCGCTGATCCCTTCAGCCGGGTGCGATACAAGCTCTTGAATTCATGCATTTGTTGTGAGAAGACACTTTCGGGAATGTCCATAGGTTCTCCCGGTTTGATGATTGATCTGGGCAACGAACAGGGAAGTGCTAGAGGGCTCCGCAGAGACTTTGGCTCTGTGTCCAAGAGAAGCCGAAGTGAACACCGATGTAAGTCGTCGTGAGTTGTCCGACGAGGCACACTGTCGTTGTTTGCTAAGCTACAAGTAGGGCTATTTCATGTGTATGGCTGCTGTGGCATGCGCTCGAGCAACAGATTGAAGTAGATGTTGTCTTATCTTCTTGTGCGATTATGCTTGGTTCATTGTGCTTCGGTTTGTTGTGGCATGTTGTGGCCAGCTGTCTCTACAGCTTGAAGCTCGTGACAGTTGCTCATTATCAGTTCTGGATGGGTTTTGGTGTGTTTTTCCGTGTCTTCTCCTTTCCGCACTTGCTCTCGGATTTGATCGGTCTTAACTCGGACATGTTGTGAAGCCTTGGCTGCTTTTTGGTCACCCTGCCGCGAGTAGCCAGAACCAAGTATTGACGTGCAGAGTTCCAAAGGTGTTAACAGGACCGTCCCTCCGAGAACGCACCATGCTGGGAGTCCGGCATCTCATGCTGAATACCTCCATGATCCTCTGTGCATGAAGGTTCGTGCCGTCCGCAAGCTACTGGATGAGGCACAGCCTTGGTCTTGCGATTCCGGTCGTTTACTGCCGCAGCAGGAAGTGTGTCTGACACCTCATAGCACGTCAGCATGTGGAAAGTGTGTTTTCTTGCCTGCGAAGGCCGTAAACTTGATGGCCTTGGCAACGGATTGCTTTGTCCGGGCCTCGGGTCTCTGCAAAGGGGTTTAGTTTGGAAACTTATTATGATCATTATGACCGTTAGTGTCATTGGTAACATACGTCTTGATAGCACTACTCGTGCCATAAACTATGAACTGTTCAAGTCACACCTCGCAGTCGCAGACCTTCCGGGTTTTCGCTCGCCGTCGTATTTGTTGCGTTGAAAGAGCTGAGCACCGGAGATCGCGTTTGGGCATAGAGGACTGAGGGCTTCGTGGGGACATTCCTAGGATCACACTCCTTGGACTTCGTGGACAGGTTCGGCGCCCGGCGGAGCAAGCCTCCCATACTGGGTACTTGCTGTTTAACATACAGGAAAGTGGCATTCTTGAAGTAGCTTGCTTGCATGAAGGACACGGTGAAGACGGCAACGACCTTCCAGCATCCCTCTTGGGGAACGAGGCCATTCTGTGATCATTGACTGCCGAGGGATTTTGTGCGATGGTAGTCGCTGTAGGATGCAGTCTTGCTTGCACTCCTACGAGAGCTTCCAAGACTCATCATGCAGGGTGTCACAGAATGGACCTGCCACGCAGGAACAGCATGGAAAATCCTGAGCATGTGGTTCACAAAGGTTTTCTACAACTGGGCGCGGCGTCCGTCAGCAGAGGACGACGTGCAATTAGCTCAGATTGTATTAGATGCTGGTGCGTGCTCGAAAGTCCCAAGACAGCCTGTAAATTGCCCTGACTCAGAAGCCACCCACGTGATGCGAGGCCCTGGAAGTGGGAAGTGCTTCCCACGCCGGTGCCCAGGGGAGGAGGCCAGCTGTACGACAGATGCCTTTGTTTCGAGCCCATTGGTGAAGTAGCAGGTGTAACGGTGGTGACACTTGCGACAGCCAAGAACAAAGATCCACGAACTATGTTTTAGTTGTAAATATGTTTTTCCAGCTTTCAGTCTTTTGTCATTTTGTACCTTTGGGTTCGCCGTGTCGGATCAGATGGTTGACGTTCCTGTGCGCCTTATCTACAGCACTGTCGAGCTTAAAGCAGTCGTTCATGACCTGTATCTTTCGTTTCTTACGTTCTGACGGTTGACCTTCCCGTGCGTCTCATTCCCGACCCTGTTGAGTTTTGTTTTCACTCTCGGCTTTTGTGTGATTTCGGGGGGCCTTTTGTTTGTGCATGCTGCCAATGAGAAAATTCTGCTTACTGAAGGCTGAGTCTACCGCCAGATTGTGTTCCGAATGTTTGGATTTGTTAGGCAGGCATAGCTCTGTGTTTTGCTGCATGTTGTAGCTGAGAAGGCTTTGATCGTTCCATCTGCCAATCGGAGTTGGGCACAGTGTGTGTGACGATCTCAGTGGGCCGGGCAGTGATTCTTTCTGTGGACGTGTTGCAACATATGTTGAAACATAGGCTCCGCCTATGCAGTGGCACTGGCAAGGTGCACCTTGACAGTGGGAAGATAAATGCCCTTGGAGGCAGGAATTTCGTAGCCTGCGGATACGAGTTGCGTGCCTTTGTGTTGTGTCATCTCTGGACCGTTGAGGAAGAGGCCTGGCACGTGGCACGCCGGCCTACTTGCTGCAGTGTGTCGACCCCGGATCGCTTCCTGTGCGTGTGTGTGTGTGTGTGTATGTGTGTGTGTGTGTGTATGCGCGTATGTGTATGTTGATGTTTGGTACATGTTACCCACGTACACAGACGTATCCACACATACGTATACATACATATGTTTACAAAAGCACATGCAGAAACATGCATACATATACATGCGCTGTATACATATATACATGTATATATATATATATATATATAGATAGAGGTATGTATGTATGCATGTATGCATGAATGAGAGTACGTATGTATGTATGTATGTATGTATGACTGCGCGTATGTATGCATGTATGAATGAATGAAAGTACATACGTATTTATGGGTGCGGGTATGTATGGATGGATGAATGGATGCATGGATGCATGCATGCATGTCTTCTTGTACGCAGGTAAGTAAGAGTTAAGTAAGTATGCATGTGTGCATGTATGTATGTATGTATGAATCTACATCGCCGATGTTGGTGCCTCAGCTAGGCTAGATTGGTGTCACTTCCCTCAAACCCTCGCCTGACCTTTTCGAGCGCGAGCACTCAAAATGTATGTAGGCATGTATGTATGTATGTATGTATGCCGCCTGATTCGTCGAGAGCGAGTGACAAAAATATATGTAGTTAAGTGTGTGGATAGGTAGACAAAAAAGTAGGTAGGTATGTATGTATGCATGCACGCATTTGTGTTTGTGTGTATATGTGCATGTGTATGTACAGGCAAATGTAGATGTACACGAATATGTACACGTAAATATCTAAACATAGATGATTAAATAAGTACGTAAATGCATAAAGTTATATATACATATATGTATACACATACACATAACTATTTATATACAATTGAGTATGAGTTTGGTGGCATTCGCTGAACACGTGTCTGCCGAGGTGGCGATAGCTACGGCGAGTGGTGGCTTCCCGAGATTCGAAATTTGTTGAATGGCGTCCGTCTCGAAAACGAGAGAGCTACTGTGAGTCCAGGCTTTGATTCTCCATTGCTGGGCTGTAAGTAACGGGGGAAAACCTCCAAGGCGCCGGATCACGCTGTGGGCCAAGCTTCCACGACTAGTTGAGCAGAAAGGCGCGAGACCGAAAGCTAGAAGTCGGTGAGCATGAGCCAACCGGGTGTTTCTGCATAAGGCAGAGCATGAAGTGTCAGTCGGCACGAGGCACGGCATGGATACTTCACGTTCAGGCCTAAGAACTTTCCGCCGGTTCGATTGTACAACTTATCTACCCCTCGTGCTGCTGCATGCCTGGCTCTGGGCTATGGTTTGTTGGGGCTCACCGCGACGAGCCAAAAGCGTCATCTTCCAGCAGCTTTGAAGTGCCTCAGATTTCAGTTCAGGCACCTGCAAAGAGGTGGCGTGCCGGTTTGATGTTGCACCGGCGAGTTCCAGCAACACGTTCCTTTCGCAATACCTTTGTCTCGGTGCATGTCCAAGGTCTCCAGCTTGGCAATCTCGAATCTTTGGCACCTCTTGCCGGCGGCTTGAGTATGCGGTCAGCAGCAATTAGCGTCAGATATTTGCGTGGAAAAGCGCTTCTTCGACTGCCGAGGCATGTGTTGACTCCAGCCCTGGCCGACAGTGCGTGCAAGGAGGCGAGGCCTGCGAGGGTCAGGTGCCATGCTTTCGCGAGATGAAGCGGTTTCCTGGCTACTGCTGGAGTACCGGGGCTCAAAGCATCAAAAGTTTGGCAGAACAGTTGCCTCTTCAACCAGAAGACGTGCACATAGCGAAAGCAGCAGAGGCGAGAGCAGCCGGAACTCCAGTCAGAATACCGCTGGTAAATCGCGACTCGGTACTGACAGTAATCCTGCCTAACACCCAAGCACAACTGAGTCTCGAAGCCTGATGTGAACCCTAGTTAATTAAAGGACTTTCGCAACTTTTGTTCAAAGCGCTTTCTTAAAACGTGTGAAGTACGAAACCATACAAGGCAGATCATGGTCTTGTGATACGAAGATGTTCACCGTGTAGGAGTGCGAGATATTGATCGATGGTCTCAGCCTTACAGTTTTTGTAGAAGCCGCCCTCGACGAGCCGAGCTTTGCATGATGATGTATGCGCTTGCCGTACATGTTCAGCCAGCAAAGGATCGGCATGAAAGGGGTGTCTCCTTACACGTGCCTGTGCCCGTCAGCCATAGTTTCGCGGACTCAGCGTCTGACCGAGTAAAGCATCGGCCACAAATTGTGGACTTAAGGCCTGATGATGGACCGCGAATGGGCCGAAGGGTTGCCGTGGCCTTCAGGGGATGATCGGGCCGCAATCGTGTGCTGTGCTTGGCGTGCTCCAGTGGAGTATCAGCACCACTGCCAATGGAAACAGAGCTGCTGCGATCCGAAGCTGTTTTTCTTTATGGTCAGGTTCTTTGTTCGTGGCACCTTTCAGGCATGTCAGGGGTACAGTTCAGTCAAGAGTTGCTGATCTGGTAGCCTAGCCACAAGCCAGGTTCATGCAATTGAGCTTTGCAGGTGTGTGCGTAGAATTAAAACAGATTTGGCCTGTCGTCTTCCGAGAGCCATGGCAGAGGATGACGTGCCGCAGGGAGTCATTGCAACTGTTTTGCAAAGAGGGTTCGAAAGGGACAAGACGCGGTGACAAGGGAGACCAACCTGCTCAAAGTCCGGGCAATTCAGACGGAGAACACTCTGCTCTAAAGGAAGGTGAGTTCTAGGAGGAAGCCGAGCAACAAAGCCGAGGGCCTAGGCGTTGAGAATGCGGAGCACGCCGCCCGAAGGAGATAAACACAGGACTTCATAAGTTGAGGCAAATTAGCATACTGTGCAAACTGTCAACGAACGAACAAGACGGAAGATGTTTAGAGATGAGCAAACCGCTCGAAAGAAAGTAGAGAAGCTGAGAAAGCAGAGCAAACCGCAAGAAAGGACTATAGACTTTGAGAACGAGGTGTGAACATTTCGACAAAGACTCGAGAAGTTGAGGCGTAGCAGCAGACGCGAGAGGGACTGGAGATTGTGACAGGTGGGCCAAGGGATTAGAGATGTTGACGAGTGGAAGCAGAGCCCTCGAAAAGATGACACGGAGCCGGTTTGAAACAGAAGTTGCGCCAGAGGAGCATTCCGTTCGAAAGGGATTAGTGGAATTGAGAAGGGAACATACTCTTTCGATAGTTGGGGGGGGTTGTTGTTCTCCGATTTGGAGAACAACAACTCCCCCTTGTCGTTGCTCTTCCTCCCCGCTTGTTGTGAGAAACATTGTTTACTTGTTGAAATGACAATCACAAGCGTGGATGGTGGGTTTGGGTCAAGGATGTCACCCGACTTTGGAGGGTCATCCAGGGACAAGGTGGAGGTGATACATGGACCTGGCGGTCGTCCCTAGGAGGCCGGAGTGGTACACTGCCTTTGGCGGGCCGCTTGTGGTTGGGTCTTCTGCTGCGGCTGCTTTTGCGCTCGATCGAGTGCGGGCACCGTGGTGGGCCGGGCCCCGCCGACAGCGAACAACCCCATCGACCGGTGGGCCTCCGTGGTAAGGAGGGAGGTGAACTTCGTCCGGGGCCGCCTTCGGCTCCCCATGGCCTTTGCACACCTGGGAACCTACAGTCTTCGCAACGCCCCGGAGTCTCGCCCGAATTTAAGGCGACGGGCGGCCCGACGGGCATCAATGCCAGGGCCCGTCTTGCACAAGGGGCCGGCTCTTCAAGATGGACCCCAGCGAAGCGGAGCTGCAGGCTATCACCGACCTGGCGGAAGTTTTCACTTGGTCAAAAGTGAGCCCTGGAGAGGGCCTTGCGAGAGGTCCTAGGAGACCCAGCTCTCATCCTAACAACCCCCCCCCCCCCTGCCCCTGTTGTTGTTCTCCCCCTTCCCCCCCCCCACCTCCGCGCCAATCGTCCCTCACGGGGTAAGGGGGTTGTTCTTCCCCGAAACTAGGAACAACAACCCCCCCCACCCCTCCTTATCGAAGGGGTCTCGAAAGGAAAGAGCAGCCCACGTGAAAGGGATCAGCATCAGTTGCGAACTACACGCATGGATGCAGTTGCTGAGATGCTACTTGGCAGAGCAAACAGCTCCGGTGGGGCTGGTGATGTTGAGACAGGCATGTGCACGAAATGGATTGGAGAGTTTGAGACCTTTGAGACAGAGGAGCACACTGCGCGAAACGCATGGAGAACATGGGAAGGGCGGCCGCACTAGCAGGACTGAGCATAAAAGTTCGAACGAGGTTAGAGTGATCAGAGTCGAAAGGGACTAAACTATGACTAGAACGTGACATGCGCGTGATGAATGTGGGCCTGGGTTCCTTTAGCTATTGGTTGCAAACGACGCGGATTATGAAATTAGTCATGCTCCAGATCTTGCTGGGAGTTTGGCTTTCGCAGGGCTTCGACAAGCTCAGGTGTGCGTGCGGCTTCGGCCGATGTTCGTCAAGAGGCCTTGGCCAAGACAAAGATTTGTGACGATGTGCCTGTCGTGAATTCCAGCCAGACCTCACGATGCTCGTGCATCAGGCCTGATGGCACTCCTGGGCGAGAAGCAACCTGCCAACGGGCTTCTTGCCCTGGATTCCCGATAGTATCAACAGGAAATGACCGGCAACAGCAACACTGCAAAATGGTTGAGGGGAGGCACAAGAAAGACGCAGAGCCAGATGCAGGTTCTTGGCAGCTGTTTTGCTGAGGTGGTTGAGATGGAAGGAGAGGCCGAAAACGGCTGCGGATGTGCTGTGACAAAGATCTATGATCCAAACGCATCTTGGCTGGCCCTGTTTCTGTGACACGAACTGCTTTGCCAGCTCGGGTGCGGACTTGATCAGGACTTGATCTGGGAACTACCAAGTAGACTCTAAGGCTCTAAGGTATGCGAGCAGACATGCAGAGGGTAACTATATGCATCAAGAGGCGGTGCATGCAGAAAGTCACTGAGTGAGATGTGTTCCTTCTGTACACATCTGTACACCGCAGCCCAGGACATGACTGCACCACCGAAATCCTATGCTTTCGATCGAAGCTGGTGGAGTTGCGATGGTGCCATGGAGGATGAACGTTGGGCTTGACTCCTGAAGCCCACATCTTGCGTCTTTGCATGCGGGGTTGCGGCCTCCACAAAGCGATTCCGGAAATCAACGGTGAAACTTTTTTTGGCAGGATCCAGAACGACCGGGCTTCAGCTACTCGGCGGCAAAATGAGCAGCTTTGCAACCCTGCGTTCTTCGCATCGGGTTCTCCATCACAAAATATCATGTTGCCACCAGTCAATGGGGGGACAGCCGAGTTCTTGCAGTCACGCTTCGGCGACAACGGGTTTCAGCTTCGGAGACAATCCAGTGCTAAGGAATACCTGATGGCCCGAACTCCAAATATGCCGTTTGTCCGCAAAGGAGCCGTTCCACGATGAGTGCCGGAACTCGTTGTTTCTCGACCTTGAAGCTTCTGTGTGCTTTGTGCTGCTGAGGTGGATCAGGATATGGTCTGGAACGATATTGGCACGATGGTCATGAAAAATGCTCTGCGTGGCTACAACTGCACGGTGTGGCTTGGCGGAGCCTGCATTGGCCAGAATACATCTTCAGAAATGCACTGCCTCTGCTAGAGCTTTATTCGTGCTTTGCTTTGCTCAAGGTTCGCATATGGACAATCTGGCTGTGGCAAGTCCTATTCGGTGGTGGGTGATCCACCTAATCTGGGCATTATCCCGCGAGCAGTCCAGGCAGTGTATGAGGTTGTAGATGGGAACACAAACCCCGATGTCAGATACCACGATCCCTGTCTCAATTGGATTCCAGCTCTTGTCCCATAGGGGTGAGTTCAACAAAATCTTAGACGTCGCGCAGACTATGGGTAACCTGGTAAAGTACTGTGAGCCGAGGTTGAGATTGCCATGCTGGAGGTTTACATGGACGAGGTGTATGACCTCTTGGAACCTCGGAAAAAGGAGAGGCAGAAGTTGAATGTCTTCCACAACAAGGGTGAGGCCAGGCAAAACCTCTGCCTGTGCAGCGTGATCCCAACATCATAATTGTGTTTTCTCGGTTAGGTCTTCATCTATGACCCGAAAGACCGCAAGAACATGGACAAGATTTGGAGAGCATGCAGCAACCATGAGAAGGCAGACAGGCTTTGCACCAGTCACAGGGGGGCCCGACCGATGCAGACGGTTATTGTTGTCATGGCTGGAAGGCAGAGTCGTTTCGGAAGATGGGTGATGCAAATCGGTCAATTCGTGCCTAAGCTGCACCAGACCGGGAGTGACGTAGCAGTCCTGTATGCATTCAGTGGTGCGCTGTCGCTTGAATGTCAGTTTTCAGGAGCCACCGGTATGAATCCAGAGTCGTCTCGCGGGCATACGCTCTTCATTGTCCGATTCCGGAAGGAGGCTGTGTTCAGAGATTCCCATTGCCGGCTTGCCTTGGCTGAGTTTTGCAAGCCAGCGCCTTTGATTGCTGAAAGGCCAAAAGAGGCGGTTGGGTGGAAGAATTCCGTTCAAAACTGTGCCTGGTGGATTTGGCTGGCAGTGAAAGGGCGCATGACACAGGCCAGCTTCAAGATGCACAGCCGAGAAGACGGTAACCGGTAAGCGTAGAAAGGGGATGGATGGTTTTGCGTGGATTTCGGGAGGGGGCGCATGCAAGTAGACAGTTGTCAAGTTCAAAAGGCAGGACGTCGAGCAGATTCCTGCGCTGCTCCTGCTTTGGTCAAAATTCAGGACAAAGGTGTAGCGGTTGTAGCTGGCTAGGCCTGGATTTGCAGGCTGTAGGTTGAGTTGTCGGTCAGTTCTTTCCAGTGCAAGCGATGTTCCGCAGCCTGCAGGCTTGACCGGCGTTGGCCTCGAAGAGGGAATTGCAATCAATCAGTCGTTGTCGGCTCTTGGACAATGCCGCTTGGTGAAGTCTCGGCACAAGTGTGTCTTCATGTTTTTTAAGCGTGCTTTTCAGCCGAAGGGACTGCGCAGCCGAGGCCTGGTACAGCTCTGCAAGGGTGAGCGGGCAGCTTGCCGGCAGCTTGTCCGAGAGCTGTCGAAGATTGTCGTCACGGAGCCTGGAAGGTCAACTACTCGGACAAGCTCACGCGGCTTTTATCCGAGAGCTTGGGTGGCAACGCTGTCACCGTACCGGCCTCTATCCGCGCAGTCTGTGCGCCATGGTGCACAGCCGTGACTGATGTTGGTGTTCAGGTGATGATCGCAGCCCTGTCTCCAGCCGACATCAACTACAACGATACGCTGTCTACGTGCTTTGACTCGCCGTATGAAGATCTCTTATTCAGCCTGGAAGC